TTTGTTTTCGGTCCACAACAACAGCAGCAGCAGCCGCCGCCGTCGTCTCTCGCCGCCGCGGTCCCGTGCCACCGTCGCTGCCGCGCTGACGAGGAAGGGGAAGACCGACAACGTCGCCGGACCAGTGCCGTCGCTGTCCCGCCGCTGCCGAACGGAGGCGGTCGCAGTAGTGCCGCAAACCCGGAACAGTCCGCCCGCAGTCGGACGCACCGCACGGACGACACGCACGCGTTGTACGCCGCCGCCGCCGCAAAGGTCGAAGACGAAGTCCGACGATTGACTCGTGGCTGTTTGCCTTTGCCGACCACAGACGTCGAAGCCGTGGCTCTGGAATATCGGAGGCGACGGTACGGGATGTACGCCACGGCCTCCGTTACAGCGGACGACCGTTACGGTCACCGGTACGGTCTGTCCTCGGGCTTGACGACGTCGTCGCAGGACCCGAAGACTTCTTCGGCCGCCGCAGCGTTCTTCTTGAGGTCAGTGACTATACATTAWATTATATAATATATGCCTAGTATCATTTTATAATAAATTTTATAACTTATGTCTATACTTAGTTATGTGGTCTTGGGAGGACGACACTCTATATCCGCATGCGTTGTCGTCTTACGAACGGCKAACGCATCATATTATTAAGWCGAAAATGTAGGCAGTAGAGGAGTAGAAGTGTTCATACAGATCCTCCTCTGCTGTCGGTTTAAACGGAAAAAAAAGTCGAAAATTTGAATTCAGTTGAACCAATTCTATGCTGTCGGCTTGTTTAATGTTGGAGAGTGAATTGCAAATCTATAATCGAATAATTTTGAGCTAAAACGATAGTATCGTGTTTTGACAATGAACAATATTATTGTCTTACGTTTTAAAAACGGGACAATACTTGCATGGGTATAGTGTAGCTCTCTTAAGTGTATAATATATTATATTTTTATACACTATACACCCGTATATAATGTAAAGAGCGTTCGTATTAGGTAAATTGCCATTTTTTGATATAAAGGTTTGATAAATTTATCAGGAGTACTGTGGTAGTTATTATAAATACTATGCATGAAAACAATTAAACAATCTTTTTATAATATATATTACGTATTTWTTTTCGTTAAAAATGTAGAATTTTTGTGCTGAAACCTAAATGTAGCCAATGTATCCCAATACTCAACACTGTTGGGCATTTCATTAAAGCACAACAAGTAATTTTCTGTGTTTTTATGATTTCGATTGATATAACCAACGGCGAACGCAAGATTTGACGTAGCATTATAACCTATATAACAATCGACGATTAACTAATCGGGAATGAGCTATATATACGTAATTAATATATTATGAAAAACGTGTCGTGTGTCACTAAATTATAAAAATGATGTGTTATCAAATGGCATTATGACAAATATGTGTGTAAATATAATCATTAATTATTATAAATACTATTCATAATTAATGTTTTAATATATATTAATATTATGACATAGTGTTATAACAGTCGAGTGATAAAT